TCTTTTTTGATGGTAAATACTCCACGACCACATGTAAAAGAAATTAGTTTAATTATATGACATTATAACTGTACAAACCATGGTAATTTTAATTGCATCAACCTATTTTGTTATGCAACCCATCTAAGTGTATTGCGGGACTGCGGGTTAACAATACCAACATATATTTCTTGTGTACTGTAAACAGTTGTATTATACTAAAGAACCTACACGGGGTGGACTTAAGTTGGCATCAACTTCAGTTGAACGACTATTACTGGACATTGCTTTTACCGAGATTAAAACCATCTCAGTGAAATGTGCGTTATCTGCATAAGGTTTATATCTTAGGCCTCACTCTTCGTTGCACCTTTCCACTTGCTAGGAATTGTTGATATCTAAAAATTATCTTTATGACAGCTGATGAACGTGAATGCAAATTTTTTCACATTACATGATTTAGGTAGGATACATAATAAAACCAACCATCATGTTTGAACTTATAAATTGTATGCTCTTTTCAATTTTCAGATTGAACTAGTTATTATGTCATAATTACGAAAATTGATAAATTAACAAGACAAAACTGTATTCGCTGGTGATCATTGTTTTTTTTGTTAACTATATGCTACTGTTAAACGTTTCGAGCTGGCGATAGACGAGTGACCTCTCTATGAAATCATTTAAAGGCCCGATTTCTTCGATAATGTTTTATGTTTGTAATATTGAATTTATACCCAAAACTGTGAAATTTACACTGAACAGAGCCACATAAAAAGTATTTTTGATTGTATATTGTTCCGAGTTTGTTTCCAAGCAACTCTAATTATTTATAAAATTAGATCTAACTAATGGTTATAAAAACACACCTTAAAATTTCCAAGTTTTCATATATGAGTTTTTAAAGAAAATGTGAAACTTCCGAATAACTCAGCTTTAATGATTGTTTAGTGTAAAATCTTTTTACCCCTGTTTTTCGTAATTCCATCCTTACAACCTCGCTTCAGAGGAATAAACAAGCCTGTGAGAGTTGACGATGTTCGCGGAATAATTTAAACAACATTGTTTTTATCAGACAATGAACATCCAATTCCTAACTGTCAACTGGTTAGGAGGAGAATACTCGACTTTTAATAACCATTTATTTACATGTTTTTCGTTCATTTCTGTTTATATCGCAAATAGCGCTGTCAATATAGGATGAAATGTATTTAATGAGTACGATCACTTCTCTGCAGTACTGGATTTTATCCCGATATAGGCTTTGATGATTTGTTGAACTTTATTCCAAGTTTTTCTACTGTACTGTATATACTTGTGTATTTTTAACTCATTATAGGAATAATGCCAATGGAACTTCTTTCGACGTGTTAAATAAGTCTGCGTTGGCGTTGGGCAATTCAAAAACTCGGAACGTTTAAAAAAGCAATCTGAAAATGAATTGATGTGAATCAATAGTCACAATGAATTGTGTTAATATTCGGTTGCAGTAAACAGCTGAATGTTAAACTAATCTCAAAACTCTATGTGATTTTAATATGAATAATACTGACTACTCGTTCTTTGTCTGACCATTTCCCTGATTACTCTCGAAATTGTGAATAAAACTTCTTATTGCTCATGTAGAGTGATTTCTTCGTTTCAGAGTTAGCTATAGCTATAGATTACCGATAACCTTATCAGAGAATCTTGGATGGGTTTATCTTCTTCAAGAGAATGAACAGGACAGTATTTGTCCGAATTAGGAATTAATGCAAAAGGTTATCTTTTTTATCTCTTTATTATCACTACCTCATCCATGGTCAGTGTGTTTCGGAGTTAGCTATACGTTACGATAACCTTATCAGAGAAACTGGCATGGGTTTATCTTATTCAGTAGTATGATCAGGACATAGGTAGTGTTTATCCGAATTAGGAATTAATGCAGAAGGTTTTCTTTTTTTATCTCTTTATTATCAGTGTATATCAGGAAGCTTTCTTCTCACTCTTTTAGGCCGGGGCCACACGACGCGGATCATCCGCGCGGACGGACCACGCGGATCATCCGCGCGGACGGACCACGCGGATGATCCGCGTGGTCCGACAACACATTGAATCAAATGAGAGTGGCCACACGGGGCGATCCTAAGCCGCCTGGGCGGATTGTCCACGCCATGTCGCGGATTGTCCGCGCGATCATAAGCCGGTTGGAGGGGATGACACACGTAGTCTTATGAGAGTGGCCACACGATACGGATTGTCCGCGCGGTTGGAGCTCATTTTCAAGCATTTGTAGTGGTTTTTTATAGTTTTTTCTTGTGCATTTCGGTTTAAAGGTGTAAAATGTTCGATACAGACAAATCAATAGAAGAAATATAATGTGGGATTTCTCATGTTGTACATTTCTCATGAGTATATCTTCATTAGTTATATACGGTCAAAGCAATTGAAGTAGCTCGTCAAACGATGCTATCTACATGCGATAGTAACAGAAAAAGACTCCGAACTATGGTTTCGCATGTGCTCGTAAAAGGTTTGGAACACAAATGGTTTATCGGTTATGAAATGATGGACCCAATGATTTCGGTTAACCTAGGCTCTAGCTCACCACACGCTTCTAATGCACAAACTAACATACGTGTTTCTTCCATAACTACAACGAGAACGAGTGAATTAAACCATGTTAGAATCTCAGTACGTAGGCTGGGAAACCTCAACCGGAAGCGGTTCATCCGCTCCGTGTGGCCGGGACATCGTCGCGCGGCTTATGATCGTACGATCATAAGCCGCGCGGACGATCCGCCTCGTGTGGCCCCGGCCTTAGCAGGAGTTTTTCTTTCTTATCTCTTGTTAATCTGTGTACGTAGAATGAGAACGCCTCAACTGCTGCAGTTTTTTATCTCTTCAGTTTCGTGTTTATGGTCGATATAATATGTATAGACAAAGAGCAGCCTAACTGGGGTTTTGCTCTTATCTACTGTTTCATAATATATTCTATACTATACCTACGTACTATACTAATCTATACTATATTCATACTATATTATATACTGTTTCATACGTTATATTCTTATATTCCGAATCTAGCCTCTACCTTCTCTGATTCATCACTATCATATGTTCAGAATTTAAATAGGAGTCCTGTGCAGTTATTGGTCCTAACTTACCCAAAGAGGGTTTACAGTTTGAGAAAGATGTCCCCAGAAACAGCTTCTTTGTAATTCATTCATTCATATGGAACTTTGTGGTCACTCCAAGCTCATCAAAAGCCTACTGTTGTGACGTCACCACAGTAAAAAGTATTCTAGGTCTGTCTCTATCTTTCGCTCTCTCATGTTCTCAATGTTTCATCTGTATGTTTACGACGTAAAGAGTTTACGTTCTACCCGTTTGATGGGCAGTCGACGTCGCCGTCCTCACTTAACGATGTTGTTTGTGATATTCAATTAAATAGGCGTCGTGGCGACGGGTAGCGTCGTTGCCGACGGGAGGGGGTAGGCTGCTGGGGGAGGGCAAACAACCCTTTCTGATAAACAGAGACAGGCAATAGCTCAACGCTCAACCGCTAGTTGAATAAGACCTTGTTAAAACCGACGACAAAGTGGTGTTATTGTTCTTCACTGCCGTGAAAGGACAAATATGTTGCATTTGGCATCTCTACTGGCAAAGAAAATATCCCTCGTTTAGAAAAGATTGTTTTAGTCAAAGAGTGGGTATAACGAATTGATGTAAAATTCAATTTGGGGGAGGGGTTGAATATGGTGCTTTTCAGAATCATGCCTTGGTTTGAAACCAAAGACTTGAAACTGCAAAGTTTCAATTGCCTAAGAAATACATTTGTTAAACCTTTTCGAGGGGGGTTACATCTAAAAGGCCACTTTGCAACAATATTTCGGGTATTATAACTCAATGTCATTAATTTTGCTTAATGTTATTAAGTATCTACTTCTTAAGTGATGTGCTTACGATGCTGCAGTATGATGTGGCGATTTATAAAAATGTTATAAATAGTTTTCCAGCAGTTTTCGACACAGGCCTATGTATTAATTTCAAAAAGAAAAATGAAAATACGATGTACTGTAAAAACTTAAATACAAATTCACAAATTCTAATCTTAGATGAGCCTAGATCGAATAGTGAAGGGGTGTTTTATACACTCGTACAACATACTGTATTTTTTCAAGATCCTATGATGTTTAAATTGCAAAACTTTAAAACCGCACAAATCATTGTAGTTGGTCCATCTTTAATTAAAGTCTATTCAAACTAGGGTTTGTACGAGGACTGGCGCCCTTCCTAATCGTAGAGCATGCTTGTCACGCCAAAGGAACTACTTCATAGCTTAAAGAGTAATTTATATTGAAAACTGGCATGGCGTGAGCGGTGTGGCGCGAATCGCATATGCAATATGCGCCAACCTTGCATGCAAGCGGACAACGGTTCACAGTCTTAATCGCGTTCGTTCATGTTACAGCTTAAATTACCTCTTTCTACAATTACTTAACTATTTCTCCCGACTATTACAAGTATTAAAATTACATTCTCTTCTCGAAATGTAAGATTCTTCAGGGATTCTGTATGTGGAAGGTCCCATAGCTCCGATTAGCTAGAAATCCGATGTACATTTAGTTTTAATAGCTCCGAATAGTCTAAATAGTATACAGCTCTGATAACTGAATTGAGACAGTTGTTCCATAAGTTCCGAAGATAGAATTATTCCCATAGATCCGACGATTTTTTTAACACAAAACTCCGATGAAATTTCAAAATATCCTCTTAGGTCCCAGGTCCGAGCGAAGCGAAGGGTACAGTGGGGGTAGTCAAACAGTGCGAGTACACGCCTTGTTTTTTATAATGTACATCTGCTATGTCTCATTCAGTGAAGGAAAAACTGGTATTTTCGCACCAACGTCTATTATTCGCGTCTCTTCGACACGCTTACTAAAACCGCATCGTTTTCTAATATTGTCAAACCAATCTAATGTGGATCACTTTGTGTGTATGTGGGAATTATGTAATCTTTTTGCCGGTACTTTTTTGTCATGTGGTATATCGTACTGATACATCTTCCTATGAGGATTGTCTCATCTTTCTGCTCTTCCTTTGTGCCAGAAGAGTTTTACATTGGTGGCGGCCCTCTGGCACTTCCTACTCCCCCTCGTCCGCTCGCCGTCGGTTGCCGTCCCCCGATGACCGTGTGATGTGTTATCCTTGATGAGGGGCCTCGCCGGCCAAATGTTATGGTGGGAGGGGGGTCCTGTGACCTTCGTCAAGTTCAGTGGACTCTGAACCAACAGGCGTACCACCACCACGCCACTACTTCTGTCTGGCCGGGCCATTGCTGCCACCACAACCACTGCATATCTACAATACATCTACAACCACAACCAAACCAAACCATATTCTGCATGGAATTAGTCCTGTGTACGACGTTTTATCCAATAAAAAAGGTCTTTGTAAAATGTAATTTGTTGAAATAAATTATTCATATTATACATATATATTTATAAATATTTAAATTTAGTAATCAGTATTTAACACAATAGTTTTACAGCATTACCGATTACAAACCACTCAAATCACATATGGTATATTAGGTAAGGCGAATAAGTTATTTGCTTTTGTTTTTTGTTATATATTTTTCAACTACAGTATGCGCATTATTAATTTGCATCGTGTGTGATAACAATATGTTAAGCACTCTCCTCACAGAATTTAAATATTTAGTTGGTATATTCTGCCAGTCCATAGTCTGGAATTGACAATTAATGTTTGTACATACTAAGTTTTGGCCAGTTTAACCGTATAGAATTCATAGTTTCTGGAATTTTCTGAAAGTTTACAGTCTGGAATTCGTAGTTTTTGAAATGTGTTGAAAGTTTGTCATGGTTTCTGGAATGTGCTGAAAGTTGACACTTTGGAATTCACAGTGCATGTTCTGTATAGATATGTACATCCACTTGTTCCACTGTTTTTTCTGTGGCATTAACCTCGCAGTGTTGGTACTGTATTGAGAGATGAAGTATGAAGAGCGCAAGTGGCCGTGTAGTTCGTATATTCTGCCAGCACAGTCTGGAATTGACAACTAATGTTTGTATATACTAAGATTTGGCCAGTTAACCGTATAGAATTTGTAGTTTCTGGAATTTTCTGAAAGTTTACAGTCTGGAATTCGTAGTTTTTGAAATGTGTTGAAAGTTTAGTCTGGAATTCATGGTTTCTGGAATGTGCTTAAAGTTGACACTTTGGAATTCACAGTGCATGTTCTGTATATATATGCACATCCACTTGTTCCACTGTTGTTTTTTTCTGTGGCATTAACCTCGCAGTGTTGGTACTGTTGAGAGATGAAGTATGAAGAGCGCAAGTGGCCGTCATCAACGATATGATATGTGGTATGCCAGCATGAGTTTAGACTTGAGTATGAGTAGCCAGGACAAATGAGTAAAGCTAATGAGGCGGCTGTAGAGACGCTGATTTACAGTTCACCTGTCACTTCGCGTTTAAACATGGCTTAACTCTCAGTCCCGTCGCCGTCAGTGACAATGTTACACGATGGGTCCGTCTTCAGTTTATTGGCAATGTAGTTTCAGACGAATGATCGCGTGTGATTTCAAAATAGTGTTATATTTACAATCCAAAGACATTATTCACGTGCAATGAGCAAAGCTTAGTTAGAATAAATATTTTGGGAGTCGTGCCAAGTGCAAAAAGCCACATGAATACATAACTGGTGGTCCATGATCACGTCAAATTGAAATCAAGTCAGTGGAAAATCTCAATGATGTGAGGTCGTCACTGTTTGAGAGTAGTCTATGTAAAAGCAGGCTAATGTGTAGGGAAAGAATTTCAGCGTGTAAGGTAAACTTATTTGAAATGTCCTTATATACAATATTATAGGGACAGTCTATAATTTTTTACGACTTAATTAAAAGAATACAAAGTGTCTTTAAGTTTTCAAGTTGTTTCAAAATAAGACCATGAATGAAACAACATACAAACATTTGTATACACGTAGATACAGATAACAATTCAAATCAATGCTCCATTTACTAAAAAAAACAAAAAACAGTGAAATACACACTACAGCAACTGTGGACGATTACAATACACTACAATAACATAATATTTCCTTAATACATACATATCCCCCCAACCAAAAGTTAGTTACAGTATTGGCATATTATGTCCAAGCGATTCTCTTTCGAGCTGTAAATCATTTACAAAGTGGAACATTTATTTTGTTCTTGAGCCCACTCTCACCACTAGTGACTGTTTTTATTGTCGTGCGGCGTCCCTTCCATCCCCAAGGTCAGTTTTTAGGAGGTTTGGGTCGTTAGGTCTGCACAGAACCACCATTTTCACTCCAGACACACTCCAATAGTTCAGTGTATGAATTTCATTGTTTATACTTATCCGAACAATTATAATACTGCCGGGAAGTGTGCCTCATAGAAAACATTATTCTGGACCACCATAAGAGGGAAACGTAACATTGACCATCAGTATACTTATTCAATGGTTGTAGTGGTCTATTGCTCTAATAGCAATTTCGAAAATGCTAAATAACTTCGATATTGTGGGCAATTTTGAAATGCTCAAATGGACAGTATACTAAATCACTGCAGTATCGCTGCAGTAAATTCATGACTATCATTAGCCATTTTACTGATATACTGTGAAATGGTCAAATATATACAAAATACAATAATAAAATAAGGGATGTGATGCATTATAGCTTAACAATAGGCCTACACGAAAATGTCACTAACAATGAATTGACAAAAATTTAATTTCTAAGCATAATAAATAATTTGCAATAAACAAAAATATGAAATGTTGATTCAAAACATGTTAGGTGTAAATAATTCTCTTTTCCCAATTATGTAGCGCCTACCTCGTTGGGCGCTCGTTGTAATTTCTAAGCATAGTAAATAATTTGTAATAAACACAAATACGAAAATGTTGATTCAAAACATGTTAGGTGTCAATAATTCCCTTTTCCCCAATTATGTAGCGCCTACCTCGTTAGGCGCTCGTTGTAATTTCTAAGCATAGTAAATAATTTGTAATAAACACAAATACGAAAATGTTGATTCAAAACATGTTAGGTGTCAATAATTCCCTTTTCCCCAATTATGTAGCGCCTACCTCTTCGCGCGCTCGTGGACATTCGGATTTACTAGTCTGACTGTAACCCAAAAGAGCCCTTCCTGATCCTCATAAATCATCGTGACCACTTAAACATTTAAAAATCACCAAAAAAACCATTATGGTTTAACAACAGCCAGATAGAAGCGCTGTAGTGACATATTGATCTAATATCTGACTCTAATATCTAGTTGTAATTTGAATATGTAAAATTTGACCATAATGTGAACGAGATATCAATTTGTTTATATTTTAAAACTTTTTACTAAGAATGTTGTGGTCGTTGAAACCCTTGAACACTTTGTGGCAACCTCGCCAATTGGAGCGCCTGCAATCCCTCCGAACACCGATAGAAAGCATTCATGCCTGCATGTCACAGGTTTAGGAGTTGAAGGCGCTAATTGTACACTTGATTCAGCCACTGTCGCTTATTTACTACTTCATTGCTTTGATTGATGCTAAGTAATTTTGTGCATTTTTTGTCCTTTACTTTGCATCTAAAACATGATAGATATGACTTAATTTCAATTGACAAATATATTGTGCCTTAGTAACATTTACTATGACTTCTGGGTACTTATTAGATATTCCATGTATATTGGCCAGCAGCAGCGAATTTTTAATTAAAATAAAACAAAGTTAAATGGGACAATCACAAAATGTGTTGCTGTCATCTTTGATTGTATCCTTAAATCCTTTTATCCTTGGAATGTTTAAGTTATCTACAAATACTGTTTTGGGTTAGGGTTTCTTGGTGTGTTTAGAACCAAGGATTACCTAAACTCGAGTTGTTGTATTTTGTTTATTGTTACGTACAACTTTTAAAGTTGTTGTGATTTAGTGAAAAATGTCCACAATATTTATTTTGCTGATTCACAATTTTTGTTACAGGAGATCAGAGAGCTCCTCAATGACTTCCCAGTGACCAAGATCACGGTGACATCCGGGGCAGGTTCCTCGATGGCCAGGGCGGAGCTGGAGGATCCGGAGATGCTGGAAGAGTGGGACCGTGACAGGACGTTCCTTCTGCGTGGACAGTGTGTACCCGTGTGTCCTGCAGCGACAGAGATGATGTTATGTGTGGCAAACCTACCTCTGGACTATACGGAGGAACAGTTCAATGCTCTAGTCAAATCATGTGGGGAAGTCAAACGCAGCTTCCTCATGATAAGCGAAAAGACTGGTACGTCACAGAACAGATTCAATGCTTTTTGTCTTTTGGTTCATTCTCTGATTGGTTCATTTTCACCTAAATGAAATTTTCAAATTTTATAATGTTTCCTATTTGTTACAAAAGATAATAATACTATGTTCGCTGTTACTATAAAGATTTATAATTTTTACTCTCAATTGGGAAAAGGAAGGTTTCAATTTGAGAACGACTTCTTCAGTATGAACAGCTTATGTAAAATAATCCATAGCGCCACATATCCACTAATCCATAACCAGAACTATTATGGGTCACTAATCCATAGCTGTTCTATGGATGAACGAAAGTTTGTTCTCTTTTCTTAAGCTTATCCCAGTTAATATATTTGAAATATTTTTAACCTTATTTAAGAAGATTATATAGCGAAATAAGTCCTGAAAGAAGTTTAGTAAGTTCTAACAGAAATGTAGTAAAGAATTTTTTTTTAAAATTACCTTTCAAAAAATTACTTAAGATTCAGTTTAAGAATGTTTGTCTAGGAGCTGTAGACCACTTTTTTATACCACATCCTACTCTACACTAGTCTCTAGTTCGGAACTGTTAAACACATTATTTCAGTCTAAATGTGTGTTTTTGATAGAGGGTTTGGTATCATCACATACCCGTAGCTAAATCCATTGGTGATTGGCCGGATTTGAATCCTGACCTTGGGATAGAAGCCCTGCTCTACCAAGCTAGACCTGCTCTCTCCCCCAAACATTAAAAACTAACACAACTATACAGGGTAGTATTAGTCAGCTTCTCAATGAATTTGGACATAAGTTTATTTTGGTGCCATTCAAAGCTCTTTCAGGACAATTTTGGCAAACCCTTCTATTATTTATCAGCCAATGAGATAGAGGACAGACAATTCTGTCTTTTGAGCTACATACAAAAGTGATAAAACATTAAAGCCAATAAATGCAAAGGCTGAGCACATTGATGATATCTAAACTGTCTGAGTTGGACCAGAATCAAGCAAGTCTGGCAATGTTGTCGTAAAAGAATGGGGTCCCTGTTGTTCATTCTAGGTTTACTGCTTTCTTTATTATCTGTAGCAAAAGTATTTATTACTGAAAACTTTGTTCAGGACTGTCAACAGAAACATCAAATGGAGTTCAAAAATAGTAAAATAAAGTTGCTATATTATGTTTTTGATATTTTTTTTTATATACTGTGAAAACTCATTTACTGTATAGCTGTGTAACTCAGTGGTTTTAGTATTCACCTAGTAATCAAAAGGTTACTGTTTCGATCCTGAGAAAAGTGTGTAGCTTTTTGACGGCTCGAAACTGGACCCAGCTGTTCCTGATCATTGGGCTTTCAATAAATGGTCTTGACTAATAACACACCTGGTCTAAGTCACTAACAAAGCTACACTAGGCATAACACTCCATTCTACACTCATCCATCACTCATATTTGGGTTAAAATGTCCATATGTGGCGTCCTCACTCCCCATCTCAAATGATAATGATAATAATAACTCTTGCTATTTCATCTATTTTTTAAACAAATGTAGTTTTTTGAAATTTGTTCATTGAAACTAAGTCAGTATGGTTCAAGCCTAGTTGTGTGTTAACAAATCTGAATAACTTCTTGGTCATTTTTATAAAAAAATTTCTTTTACAAATTAATTGCAAAATTCCTAGGGCCAACTTTACAAGATTTTTCTTTAGAAACCTTGGGTGCAAAACTGTTTTGCAATATCGATATTTTGGATGCATTCATCTTCCTATTTACACCAATTTCATTTTCTAGGAGAAAGCAAAGGTTACGGGTTTGTTGAGTACAAGAGTAGAGAAATTTCACTACCAGCAAAGAATGTCCTCGACAGGCAACAGATCAACAACCATACGCTTGTCTGTGATTGGCTGGACTCGAGCCACGTTACATTTGAATCACTCCACTCCAAGTGCCTGTTTGTAGACCGTCTTCCAAAAAACTTCCGTGACATGAGTGAATTTCGCAAGATATTTTCATCGATTGTCAACCCTCCATATTGCCAAGTAAGTTTTATAGGCTCTTTAATCATGTGTTGTCATGCTGTATTTATGCTAATTATGAATAGTTGTTGTAAAGGAACTGCTTTAAGGATAAAAAATAATTTTTATCAGAGTACCCAGACTCAAGCGTGAAAACCATAAAATTGTGAATGAGCCGTGAATCACTAGCAGTAAATTTTGCTGTGAAAACTTCCGATCCTCATTTTCATGAAATTTTTTATACTTAAAATGCTAAATTAATTTTTAAAAAAATTCTAAAAACGGAAATAAAGATTTATTTTATTTTATGGTTTTACCTAAAAGATAAATTCATTTTAAACAAAATTCTAAAAACGGAAATAACAATTTCTTACATTTTATCGCCTTTTAAAATCCCTACTTTTAAATATTCAATTAAATTTTGAAGACTTTGAGATATTATTTCTGGAAAATGGTTAATTTTACTTGTAAAAGTTTTCTGTGATAAATAGACTGGGTTATTGGAATTGTGGTCGTTAAAGGGACATCAATAATGATCTCCCCCAATCACTGCAATCTTGAGGATTTCCAATTGTGCAATCTTATAAACACAATCGCAAAAATTGAAGCTTGGTTCGGCAAAATTTTCTGACTTTGTGCCTGATGATCACTTGAGCTTTAGCGGCTAGTATCTTAACTTAGTCTGGGATCGGAATCACATCAGATCAAATTCCAATCTGAAGACTGGAATCGTCGACAACATCGCTGCTGTGTCCCTACACTGCTCCCTTTGTCTCCGAGGTACACAACAACTCGGTGATGAGATGTCACTGTGATTCTACATGTACCAGGCTTAAGACAGTTAACTTTTACCAACTTCACAAAAAAAAGCAAACATGACTGGAAAATTCTGATTGAACAGTAGATTTCATTTTTAAGTTTTAACGGTTGGCTCAATTCTGGAGCCAGATACAATTTGTCATTGGTTTCTCAATGAATGTAAGAATGACGCTATTTAACAAAAATATCGTTATTTGATACTAATATGACTTGAGTTTAGACTGTTCTCTTACACAAATTTTTAAACATTTGCCAATGGGATAAAAAAAACACAAAATTGAATTATTTTGAAAACAAATATGTAATTTCTAGAAAGTATAAATAATCAGCCTCTTCAATATGACTTAATTTACTTTATTAGCTTTTGAGTGTCAATGGAAACAGATAACCAACAAATCCCTAGCTCTATAGGTTGATGTCTTTGTTTTCAGATTGCCCTGAAGCATGGGTGTCCGCAGGATTGGGGGCTTGTAGAGTATAGTAACTGGGAAGACGCAGAGGCTGCGCAGACTTCACTCAATGGGTACAATCTGCACGGTGAAAACATCAGGATCAGTTATTACATTCCTGGAGTGCGGGCTATCAACCTCTATCTGCAGCTGCTTAATGATGCGGTCAGTGCAAACTAATCGGCAACTTTTGACTTATTTACATTAGTTCCAAAATAGAACATAAAGAGCCTATACTAAGTGTGTCATATGAGTCTGTCAATGGCTCTAACTTCCTCAAGTCTTCCCATTCTTCTTGTTTTTTATGTTTTATGTTAATTTTTGTTTTTTTAATACTGTGAAAAACTCATATACAGTAGACCCTCTTATCTGGAACTTTTAACCGGACATCGGTTTAACCGGACTACACTCGGCAAAATTATCAGCACATTGGTTTAACCGGACTAGATCGGCAGGAAGTGGGCAGCAGTACTGAAACGACTGTTCTCATGGGAAAGATTTGTGACCAGTGATCAAGTTGTCTAAATACAATGCTCTCCTAAATTTAAGTCCAAATTTTTGTTTTTACTTTTGATTGGTGTGTATCTACAGTTTTTCATATTTATAACATTAGGCTGAAATGTATCTAAGGCACAGGTTGAACTGCATTCCAAAATTAATCTTTAGGCTGTTATCAAAGGTGCATGGACCACAGTTTTTATGCAGTGAAAGAACTTTTTACAAGGTAATTGTTTGTGAAGATTGTTTGTGGGCTTCACTCACATTTATTTGAGTATGTATCTATGGAATCAAAGTCCGACAATTTGCGGAACTCGAAAAACCTCCCGCTTCCTCTGGGTAGGAAAAAACTATTTTTATCCTGCACACGGGTCGAACGCCTAATTAGGACTGCTGGAGCAGTTGAACTTGGAGGTGGACGGGCAGGGGTGGGGGTACATTGTTGATTGGAAATAAGCCATTCACGTCCCCTGGCCTAATCTCCTAGTTTATCTAGAAGTTCGTCTTTAACAACTTTTTAATACACCGTACTAATATCCACCAATGGTTGTGAGAGTGGCTCTTCATCGCTTCAATCGCCGTGAATAGCAACTCTGCCGATCCATTTCCTCCAATCCAACTTCTTGTATAGAATTTTAGATGACCCCATTCAACAATATGGTTTGTTTCCAAAACATGATCGCATATCCATACTTATCTTTATTTATAACTTTTTTCATGTGCACATTTATTCACACTTTGGTATACAAGTTTGACCCACGTAACTTCTGCCACAAGAACAAGGAATTTTGTAAATTAGATTTTTTGTGTTTCGTTGCTCGTTATCAGGTTTTAATTAGGTGACACAACTGTAAGTGTTATCTTTATTTTAAAAAACGGTTCTTATATTTAGCACTCATATGCCTTAGTTTTTCAAAAGTATTCTTTAAATACGGAATACATACAATAATCAGGGGTTTTATCTTGGTCCTGGGATCTTTTGGGCTATTGACTTTATTTAAATTCTTTAAGGCCAGTTGTAGAGATGTGTTTTATGTTTATATTTTCTTTCTAGTTCTGTTTTAATCATTCATCTGTACTACGGATAGATTCAGCCTGTTAGATAAAACCGATGGCTAGGGTGGTCTTAACGTTTGTTTGGGTGGTTGAAGGAAAAGTTGAGGCATAGCAGTAGGTTTCCTGAAAACACTAATACTAGTGCGGCAACCATGTGACTGTTTCTGGACTAATACTGGTCTAGAAACGGTAATTTATTGTATTTTTCTAATTCAATTGTTTCCTTGAATTTTAAAAGTCTATCTATCTATTTTATTTTTTTTTTTATTTTGACGTTTATGTTTTCTTTATCAAATTAAAATAACCTGAATTTTTTATTATTAATTGTTTTCAGGAACCTAAGGGAAGATCTACTGGGCTACTTCCTGAACCAACTGGTCAAGCCATCGTGCAAAATCTTCAAAACCTTTTCAAACAGAATCCTATTTGTGAGTACCTATAGTTAATTATTCCTTTGATATTAAATTTGAAATCTTAGCTTATGCATGATGTGATCCTAGAAGTTGCATTCATATGGAAATTGAAATCTGAATATAAGAAAGTTGTGTCATCTAGAACAGTTGTTTTTTTCAAACGCCCTAATTACAAGTTGGATAACGTGTTAACTAAGTCCTTACCCCTCAATATGTTTGTCAGGTTAGTATTCTTTTTAACAACACTTAGGATCAAACTGTATGTTTGTTTGTCCAAAATATTTATTAAATTATGAGTTTTAATTTTCATTTATGGTTTCAGTTGCACAAAACCTGCAAAGTATAATTGCCAGTCAAATACAAGCGGCTCACAGTGGTGAAATGCCTCCAGACCCTAAAAGGGCATCTCCCTTAGTTACTATGCCGGGTAAGTACAGCATAAAAACTTTCTAAAACATTGCTTAGTATGTTTAATTATTTTCAATGCTGAGGTAAATGTTTTACTACTCATATTTTGGTGATTGTTTGATCAGGGCTGCTTTTATAAATTGGCCCGGACCCCAAGAGGTTTTAGGTTTTTTGGGGGCACAAAGAGGAGACAAATTTAACCTCAGGGTAGGTGGAGAGAAGCGCAATTATCTCTCACTTTCATAGTGCATCACTTGCAAACCTTGGGCCTGTGTTTAATTAATTTGTAAAAAATGTGTGCGTTACGATCAAATACCAACCGTAGGTAAAGGGGCCTCACGATGTGCTTGTTAAACACTCACATTGTGGAGTAAGCATTTTGTGTGGACATTGATCAAACTGAATACATCGTGGGTATAACATATTGGCTCAATTGCTCAAGTGAACACTTTTTCTCAGAACATTTTTGTAGCAAGTGTTTGTATTTTAAATCCATCCTGAGCTGTGCATATTTTTCAATTTTGTACAAATTCCTAATTTATTTCAACAAACCTAATGTGCATGTTCAGACAAGGAATTTTAAGTGCACCAATTCCTAAATATTTCAGGCTCTTAAGTGGTCAAATAAAGGTATCTATTGATGATTCAAGCATATCTATTAATCACTTTATTATTTAGACTTAAAACAACAAACAATTTTGATTCCCTCCCATTAACATGTTAGTAGACTTAGCTAACAACATCATATTGCAATATTAATAACTTTTTCTGATGATCTCACTCATTCTGATTGCTACAAAATAGTTGATGGTTTGTTTAGAATTTTTTCATTGTGATAAAAATAGCTGCTTTGTTATTAATGAGCTTCAGTGAAGGTGGCAGCCTCCAAATAGGTATTGATATCTGTATTTAAGTTTCCTATTTATCCTCATCCAGGAATCAGAAAAATGGGTGACTACACATCTATTCAATCTAGCCTCAACTGACTAACTTATATATTTGTTTTGTGTTGTTTGTTTTTACCTGATGCCACTGATATTAAATGGTAAGTTAAGGAGAACTTTTATTGTTCAGTAATTAGATATTTGTTTACAGATCCAGTCAGGAAACCGATTTATTCTCCATCAGGAACAGAGCTTCGAAAATCTCCCACCATCCCACCACCGCCACCACCAGGGCCTAGTCCACCGTTGTTCCTCAAGCCCACCCCTCCCCCACCGACCAAGGTATTTAGTCTTATATAACTAAATATATAATCTTAAAGATATATATAGATTCAGATTAAGTCATATTCAACATATTATAAATTATCACCTTGAAAGTTGTTAACAGCCAGTATCTTTACTCTAATAGTCCTATTTTACCTACAGATACCATTGCTGCCAAATCCGTCGATGGCTCCCCCACCCTCGAGAAGGTTAAGTCTCAGTCCCCCTGCTGGAGAAGTTGCTCCGCCTCTGCCTGTCGAAGAGGAACCCTCCCCCAGCTACTGGGCGGGACTACTGGGACAGCTAAGAGGGGGTCCTCCTACACCCGTCTCCTTCCCTGTACCTCCTCCCGAACCACCGAGTCACCCCTACAACATGCCTCCTCCCAATTTCATTCGAGAGCATGCTCCTAATATGCCCGTAGAGTTGCACCAGAGTCTCATAAGTCTCCTCAGTAATCCTCAGAACCTACAACAGATCTTAACCAATTTACATTCCCTGGGTCAACCAGCCTCAGCCACACCTACCTTCACGTATCCTGGCATCAACCCGATGGATCCGTCCTGGCCAGTAGCCCCGCCTCTACCTCGCTCTCTACTCACAGTTTCTCCCAAACCTGTCAATTTGCCACCTCCGGTGTTCCCCACATGGGCTCCTACGTTCCTTCCCCCCTCCCCTCAACCTGTGTTCACTCCCTTCGGATCTCCGGGCATCATTTGGTCACAGGCCTCACCCATGGTCTCTCCGCAGCCTAACCCTATGATGACTCCTATCGGTCAGAAGAGGAGGTTGTTACCCTCGCCCGAGCCTAGTCCAGAAGGAAACTACATTGGTCAACATTCTCAGGGACTTGGCGGACATTATGCCGATTCCTACTTCAAGAGAAAGAAGAAGAACTGATTTATTTTAAGTGAATTTCGCGTTTAGGGGAGAAGTTATTATTTTAATTGTACATATACTTTTATGTACCTCAAATTTACAGTCAGGTGCTTTGCTGCCCACAAGAGTCAGACAACTGTTTAAAGCCTTAATATCTCATGATCTCGAGTTATTATTAATTTAAGTAACAGCTAGATTCAGCTGTGACGTTATAGGCATTAACTAGATCCTATTAAGTAAGTGCCTTCCTCATTTGTGATCATTACAACTCGTGTAATAGGATTTTATTGTTATTATTTTTTACGGTTTGACGTTTGTCTTAAGTTTATTTATTGTGAGAAATAAATTTAAAGTTTTGTTACAGAAGGTGGGATCGGTATTATTTTTGCCTTTATCGATCACAGTACTTCAACTTTGATCAGTCTTATACTTCTTCTGTTTCTGTCATTTAGGGAATGGGGAGGTACAGGTTTTGATGGTACATGGGGCTCAGAATGTAAGAAATCAGCTTTTGTCGTGCTTAAAATATATTTTTATAAATATTGCTATCCTCAAATCAGCATGACTTAGTTTTCCATAAGTGTACTATATTTGATAATTATTTATATAAATATATTCGATTATAGGCTATACATATAAATATATATATATTCATACAAATGTCTGGAGCTGCCTTATTGAGCACAATGGTGCATGACATTCGTAAATTTTACTCACCGAGGCTATATAAAAAGCTATAATATTAATAATACTCAATCACTAGGCCTCGAATAATCTCAATCTAAAGCACAACACATTGCTTATCGTGAGAAATGAATTGTGTGCAAAGCCTTTACTGTATAAACATATGCCTTAAGCCTGCAGTGTGTTAGTATCATCTATTATTTTTATTCTTAAAAGTCTGTTTATTTTCCTTCCGTTACTTGTTCTTTTTCTGTCCAGGTGTTTGTTAATTTCTTTTACGTTCCTTATTTTAATTAGCCTATTTATTCTTTTATCATGACAGTGTTATTATTTATTTCCTGTTGTATTTTGTTTTAACTTTTTTGCTCGATCAGTTTTATTTTAGATTTTAATTACTGGTTCAAACTGCAAGCATAAATATTAATCAGTGTGGTTCTGATCACACCATTATTTGTATGAAGAAATACTTTGTACTTAATTGTATGCAATGTTGTGGAATACTTATAAATCAGGATCATGGCATTTTCAATCTTTGCTACATTGGTCATGCCCAATCACTGAAATGTATTGTAAATCGATCCAATTCGGTGTTGATATTGTTTTATAACGTATATGTATAATATGTGTACTTTAATCATTGATGTTTATTCAAGATTTTTCATTTGATTTTTAACCATAATAAACATAAAAACTCTTGTATTATTAAGAAATTTTGCAATGATTGTGATATCAGTTTCATCTCTTGCAAAATCGACACTCTAGATTCCCAATAATCTAAACCACAAATTATTTTAATTAATAGTTTAAATATTATTTTCACTGGTCGAGGGATAAACATTCATAAAGGGTTGGCAAGAGGCTAGTCTGCTATTGCCATTTGTTTGGATTAATGGGTATCTAGATTGTATATTTATCTTTTTTGATGGAATAGCCTAAGTAAAAAATAGTGTTATATTATTTTACAGTTTAAATAAATGCATGGTTCTGAAGTTAGGTCATGCTTCCAAGAAACTTTAAATTGTATAAAAGTAAAAATATATATATTTTTCTTAGAATAACTCTCTTTTTGTAGCTTTACTATTTTCGTACTACATATTATAATATACTATAAACATTATGATAGTAATATTGACTCTAAGTGATATTGTATTCATCATATAAGCATTTTAAGTATTTTTTGAGTGATGTCAAGTTTGTTCTGTTGTTTTTTAAATGTGTTTTGCCGCACTATAAAATGAGTGCAAGGATTTATACCAGATTCATTTACAACCCCTTAACTGCCCTTGTTATTTGTATCACCCGTTAGCTCTAACTGATTTCTAATTTCCAAACCAAGATATTACATTAGTACTAAATTTCAACTTAGGTTAGTTGCTTTCAAAGTGATATCTTATTTATGACCATTATTCTTGCACATTCTTACACTATCCACATAATTAAAACCGTATAGTTGGGGATCAAAGATACAAAACCTGGTTCTTGCTGTCTACAAGAAACGTTACAAAGACTGTTAAGGGGTTAAAAAATTGTTCAGGGAATTTTTTTTCTGGTCCCTAAATATAATTGCAAAGAGTTGTTTTAGAAAGCCTGAGTTATAATAATAAGCTGTTCATAATTTCATCTCACCGTCCAGTTTTATTTTATTTAGAAAACTAGCTCATTTGTTTTTTTCTTCAGAGCACATTACAAGGCAATGGAATTTGATCCATCCAAGTTTTCCTAGATTTATGATTTGTTGGAAAAAATTAACATATTGCATGTCTGCCCTTATCACTGTGAGCAGTTTATCCATAAGTATAGCATTGAGCTCAATCTTAATAGATGTAATTATGTACTACCTTTTTCTAAACTAAATGGGTATGGTGATATGAATTTTCTAAATGTGCACTTAAATGCTGTTGACATTATTTTTAATCTAAATATCATATATAACAAGGTACTTTTTTCCATCATTTAACTCTCTTTATCTGTTAGTGATTTTCCCATATAGAGAATAAGCTATTACCGTAGGTCACATGGTAAGACCTGGACCCGGGACTGATTTACTTTATCCTTTTAATGTTTCCAGTAGAACAAAAAATCCATCCAAATTAATTTATATGAATGCGTGTCCGTTAGCACGGTAGAGTGAAAATCACCTGATTGAAATTTGATGCAAACAAGTAAACCTACAACAGAGATTATGAGGAGTAAAAATTGGTCTATCGTATTTTTAACTAAAACATAAAATTTCTAGTTTTCTTTCTAGACCACTTTGTAGAGATTAAAAAAACCATGTTGTAAATTGAAGCGTTGTGGTATGGCGTTGAAGAGTGGGAGTGATCGGCAGACTTCGGGAGTGATCAGAAAGAGTAGGTAGTGATTGGCAGGGTAGGGAGTGAATAGCAGACACTTGGAGTGATTGACAAATGCACTAAAATTAGCAGTATTTTCGTAAGGTTCCAAAATAACAGCTGTTTTTAGAAGCTGTTCAGTTATCAGGCACCACCAAAGGTATTGAACTGCAAGCGTGCAGTATTAAGTGCATTAGCAAGCAGGGCCGCGTTAAGGGTCAGTGGAGCCCCTGGGCAAACCCAAAAACAGTGTCCCCATTTTTTTCTAGTGCGGGCAGGCGGCGTCTACACCGTTCTTGGGTTTTTTGCTCCGACAGCGCAAAACACAATTTAAGGGAAAATCACAACTCAATCCAACTTAAAGACTTTTTTATTTCTTGTTTAAAATACATACCCAAATTTTTAAAAAATTAGAGAATAAACCGAATTTTGGAGTTTCAGTACCTATAAATACAATAATTAAAACCAAACTTATCTTCTAATGCAGGCTAGGGCAAGAACATGTTACAAGCCACAAAAAGAACAAATATTTTTTTGAACAAATAATGTACTTTTCTTTCTTAAAACGAGGACACGAGGGAATTTAAATATTATTCAAGATCAAAAGTCAACACCATACCTCAGAAAAATAAATGATTAAAGCTTGGAGCAATACAATAATATGCACAAATCATAGTGTAGCCTATATGCATCAAATAACTGTAGTAGGGAGGGACCAAAATGTATGTTGTATACTAACTTAAAAGTTGAACATTTGGAAGTTGAATACATATTGTGTAAAACTTAAACGATGCTTTAATATTTTAGAATACACTATTATTACTGAATAAGGTTACACTTAGTGTAGGTATATTAAAATTTACTGGTAAACTGCAAGAAATGTTTAGAACATAAATAGATTGAAGACTTATTTGCTCACCGTATCTTTTATATTTATGTAATTGAAATATTTCCTTGTATCGTAAATGTACATAATAGTTTGTTTTAGTTTTTTTTTTTACAATTCAGAAAATCATTATCACTTCGTAAGTGCTTTCTGTGTAATATTTTTGCTACCACTATCCTTTTGTATCTGTTCTATTTGAATGCATATTTCATTTACCGTTTTATTTTGCTTATGTCATATTATTTTGTTGAATACAGATAAATATTAGTTGGTAAAAAATAACCATATTTTTATTTTCACCTCTTCAAATCTTGTCTGTCAATAAAAGGTGCAATGTGGCCACCTGGCTAACCATCAACACCACTCATGTTCTAACCTATATATTTAAACTTTCATTGAAGTCTTTCCTTAAAAATGGTTTTGTGGTTTAGTTAATCTTCCAACTATACAATTCAATCAGACTTATTTCTTAAATTTATCTGTCTTTACATTATGACTGGAGAACAAAGGTAAGTCCTAGTTTGCCACCAGCGGGCAAGACTATAAGAAGTGCCTGAAAAATACAGAAAATATATACGTCTAATAACACCTGCAATAATATATTTACACTTATACTGTTGACTTACAAGACGGTAAATACATGTAAAAGTTGGTAAGTGGTGATCGATTTCGATTGGACACTCCAATAATCATCAGACCCAATAGGCGATCTGATGATGATTGGAGTGTCCAATCGAAATCGATCACCACTTACCAACTTTTACATGTATTTACCGTCTTGTAAGTCAACAGTATAAGTGTATATATATTATTGCAAGTGTTATTAGACGTATATATTTTCTGTATTTTTCAGGTAATTTAATAAAACGTACGATGCTAATCAAGAAGTTATTCTATAAGAAGTGGCACTTATTTACACTACTTACTTAGTAGCCACTTTCTACTTTCTAAGCAACATATTTGAGGATTCTTACAGCTACTATTCTCACTACTAGAATAAATTGATTCTAGGGTATCGTTCTGGATAAGTGTTACTCATTGGATTCTAATGACAATAGATGTGTGCTAATATTTAACTATATTAGCTGTTAAATACAGGTGCTGCTATACAGGTCGCAATCTTCCTCCCTTGTTCATATACCTAACCTTTGAGAAAAACAGTGACTGCAAGTTGCAAGGCTCTAAATCTTGTCTATTGAAATTCTACCCCCTGAAAACACAAAGTTTAGAGAGAATATTTTCCTCGAATCAAAGTCACGTTTTAAAGAATAATTTTATGCACAAAAGTAATTGTAAAAGATTGGATAACCTAGCCTGTATACAAATTTAGAGGTTGGTTTACACAAGTATACAAGTAGATAGATTGGGGGGCAACTGTCAGGGTTGTACATTTTAAATTGAACTGAGAGGATGGAAAATTGGATTTGCTCTGATTAAATTCACAATTATAACAGGATACATTG